GCAAAGGATCTTACATGCAAGTAAAAGCATCCATGTCGAATTTCACAAATTTTTTGATAAATTTAAAATTTGTCCAAAAATGTGATGGTACCCCTAGAGCTCGAGGTCAAAACTAAAAAATAATAATTTAGACATTATTGACACGTCTTTTGGACATAAACTTTTGCAAAGATATTTACATGCAAGTTAAAACATCTATGTCAAATTTTACAACATTTTGTATTAATTTTAAATTTAGCCAAAAAATGTGATGGTACCCCTAGAGCGCGAAGCTAAAACTAAAAAGATATTAATATAGACATTATTGACAAGTTTTTTTTACATGAAACTTTTGCAAAAGATTTTATGTGCAATTAAAAACATTCATCTCAAATTTCGAAATTTTTTTGTTGAATTTAAAATTTGCCCAAAAAAAATGATGGTACCCCTAGAGCTCGAGACCAAAACTAAAAAAATAATAATTTAGATATTATTGTCAATTCTTTTGGAAATAAACTTTTGCAAAGGAATTTACATGCAAGTAAAAACATCCATGTCAAATTTCGCAACATTTTTTTAATTAAAAATTTGGCAAAAAAATGGGATGGTATCCCTAGAGCTCGAAGCAAAAACTAAAAAAATATTAATATAGACATTATTTACAAATAGTTTTGACATGAAACTTTTGCAAATGATTTTATGTGCAAGTAAAAACATCCATGTCAAATTTCACAACTTTTTTGTTGAATTTAAAATTTGGCCAAAAAACGTAATGGTACCCCTAGAGCTCGCGGCCAAAACTAAAAAATATATTAATATAGACATTATTGACAAATCTTTATAACATGAAACTTTTGTAAATGATTTTACGTGCAAGTAAAAAGATCCATGTCAAATTTTGCAACTTTTTTTATGAATTTTAAAATTTGTCCAAAAAATGTGTTAGTAACCTAGAGCTCGAGATCAAAACTAAAAATATATTAATATAGACATTATTGAAATGTCTTTTTGACATTAAACTTTAGCAAAGGATTTTACGTGCAACTAAAATCATCCATGTCGAATTTCGCAACTTTTTTGATAAATTTACAATTTGTCTAAAAAATGTGATGGAATCTAGAGCTCGAAGACAAAACTAAAAAAATATTAATATAGACATTAATGACAAGTCTTTTTGACATGAAACTTTTGGCAAAGGATTTTACATGAAACTAAAAACATCTATGTCAAATATTGTAACATTTTTTATTATTTTAAAATTTGTCCAAAACTGTGATGGTACCCTATAACTCGATGCCAAAACTAAAAAGAATATTAATTTAGACATTATTGAAAAGTGTTTTTGAAATGAAACTTTTTCAAAAGATTTTACATTCAAGTAAAAATATCCATGCCAAATTTCGTAAGTTTTTTGTTGAATTTAAAATTTGGCCAAAAAATGTGATGGTACCCCTAGACCTCGAGACCAAAACTAAAAGAATATTAATATAGACATTATTGATAAGTTTTTTTGACATGAAGCTTTTGCAAAAGATTTTACATGCAAGTAAAAACAACTATGTTAAATTTCGTATCTTTTTATATTAGTTTAAAATTTGTCCAAAAAATGTGATGATACCCCTCCTAAAGCTCAAGGCCAAAACTAAACAAAATATCAATATAGACATTATCGACAAATGTTTTTGACATGAAACTTTTACAATGGATTATACATGCAAGTAAACCCATCCATGTCGAATTTCGAAACATTTTTGATAAATTTAAAATTTGTCTAAAAAATGTGATGGTATCCCTAGAACTCGAGGCCAAAACAAAAAAATATATTAATATAGGCATTATTGACAAGTCTTTTTGACATGAAACATTTGCAAAAGATTTTAATGCAAGTAAAAACATCCAAGTCAAATTTCACTACTTTTTATTTGAATTTAAAAATTGGCCAAAAAATGTGATGGAACCCCTAGAGCTCGAAACCAAAACAAAAGAATAATAATTTAAACATTATTGACAAGTCTTTTTTACATGAAACTTTTCCGAAGGATTTTGCATGCAAGTAAAAACATCCATGTCAAATTTCGCAACATTTTTTTTTAAAATTTGTACAAAAAATGTGATGGTACCCTAGAGCTCGACGCCAAAACAAAAAATAATAATAATTTAGCCATTATTGACAAGTATTTTTGACATGAAATTTATGCAAAGGATCTTACATGCAAGTAGAAATATCCATATCAAATTTCGAGAGTTTTTTGTTCAATTTAAAATTTGGCCAAAAAATGTGATAGTACCCCTAAAGCTCGAGGTCAAAACTAAAAAAATATTAATATAGACATTATTGACAAGTTTTATTGAAATGAAACTTTTGAAAAAGATTTTACATACAAGTAAAAACATTTATGTTAAATTTCCTATCTTTTTTATTAATTTAAAATTTGTTCAAAAAATGTGATGGTACCCTAGAGCTCAAGGCCAAAACTAAACAAAATATCAATATAGACATTATTGACACGTCTTTTTGTCATGAAACTTTTACAAAGGATTATACATGCAAGTAAAAACATTCATGTCGAAAACCCCTAGAGTTCGAGGCCAAAACAAAAAAATATTAATATAGACATTATTGACAATTTTTTTTGACATGAAACTTTTGCAAAAGATTTTAATGCAAGTAAAAACATCCAAATCAAATTTCGCTACTTTTTATTTGAATTTAAAATTTGGCCAAATAATTTGATAGTACCTCTAGAGCCGAGACCAAAACTAAAAAAATAAAAATTTAAACATTATTGACTGTCTTCTTGACATGAAACTTTTGCGAAGGATTTTGCATGCAAGTAAAACATCCATGTCAAATTTCGCAACAATTTTTATTATTTTAAAATTTTTCCAAAAAATGTGATGGTACCCTAGAGCTCGTTGCCAAAACTAAAAAACTAATAATTTAGATATTATTGACAAGCGTTTTTGACATGAAACTTTTGCAAAAGATTTTACATGCAAGTAAAAACAACCATGTCAAATTTTGCAACTTTTTTGTTGAATTAAAATTTGGCCAAAAAATGTGATGATACCCCTAGAGCTCGAGACCAAAACTAAAAAATTAATAATTTAGACATTATTCACATGCTTTTTTGACGTGAAAGTTTTGCAAAGGATTTTACATGCAAGTAAAAATACTCATGTCAAATTTCACAACATTTTTTATTAATTTAAAATTTGTTCAAAAAATGTGATGGTACCCTAGAGCTCAAGGCCAAAACTAAAAAAAAATTAATTGCATTATTGACAAATCTTTTTAACATGAAACTTTTGCGAAGGATTTTACGTGCAAGTAAAAAGATGCATGTCAAATTTAACTACTTTTTGTTTAATTTAAAATTTGTCCAAAAAATGTAATTGTATCCCTAGAGCTCGAGGCCAATTATATTTATATATATATATATATTTATATATATATATATATATATATATATATATATATATATGGGCAGCCCACTGGTTTTTTTTCCTATGACTAGAGGTGTCAAGCAAGGGGACCCCCTTTCACCCCTACTCTATATTATTGCAGGGGAAGGTCTCTCCAGAATGCTCAACAAAAGCATGGAAGAAGGCCATATTCATCCCTTCAATTTGGGTAGTGCTAAGTTGCCGGGCCATCTCACCTATGCGGATGACATTATGATATTCACTAAAGGGGACACTCTCAACCTTCTCAAGCTAAAGAAACTTCTAGACATTTACTCGTTGGACTCGGGGCAGGTAGTAAACTTCTCGAAGAGTAGCTTCTATATCAAAGGCTCCACCCCCGCCTCCCAGATGGCGAACATGAGACGGAGCCTAGCTATGGAAGGAGGATCACTACCTTTTCGTTACCTTGGTGCAACCATCT